CCCCCCCCATTTCAAATTAAAAGCCCCACAGAATGAATTCTAACTGGAATGCTTGTGATGAAGCCTCTCAATTTAGTGTCAAACATTATGATTCTGTCTCCTCTCCCCCTCTCTCACCCACCCAGTCCCACCCTTTCAAAATAAAAGCCCCACAAATACAAGATTCAATCCAAGAGTATGAATCTAAAATGCAGAAAGGAGAGTAGCGCTATCTCAATTGAACCTGAATGACACTACCGGTAACATTGGCGTGTGTATATATTGCGATTTCTTCGGGCAGTAGAAGCCACACTGTCAAAATTTCTTTATGAATTTTCTAGTCATGTCTCTAATGTATCCCAGAAAACAAAACATGCAAACAGGTGGGTATAGTTTCCTTTCATGATCCCACGAGGCTGATAAACGATACTTCACTCAAGTTTTTGAATTTGTCTGCCACATGTCAAGTGGTATATGTTGATGGAACAAACAGCAGGGATTCCATATGTTACTAGAAGTAATATCAAGCAGGAGAGGACAGGCTTTCGGATATCATACATGCTCGCATTATTATACAGTATAGGGCTATATGGCTACAAGTTATTGTAGTCAGGGTTAGTGCTGTTAATGCTACTAGCTCCCGTTTCCGGAGCGTATCTTTGTTGCCAGGGTCCTGTGTTGTCCAGCTCAATATCCTCTTAATACGACAGATTAACAAGACCTTTCAAAGGGTGTATGTGCTCGGCAATGTTTCTCACCTGGGTCAAATGTTCAATGTATGTTTCCTTTGGTCAATATGTTGGAATCACCCACCTACAGTTCAGAGCCTACTGATGTTATACTCCTAGAAACCTACACCCTCAAATCTGCGAGGAAGAAGACGTTTCTCCACAGTGGCTGACTGGATTTTTAATCATTCAAAATGCATTTGAAATGTTGGTCTTCCTTTGTTCTTTTGCAATTTGAACTGCAAAGATAGCCTTTGCCAACCTCTTAGAATGATGGACCCTGGGAACATATGACCGTAGGAACATAGGACCCTGGGATATAAGACCATGGGAACATAGGACCCTGGGATATAAGACCATGGGAACATAGGACTCTGGAATAAAGGACCCTCGGGAACATATAACCCTGGGAATTATTATAAAACTTTAGTAATTTTTTATCATCTACTTTTCCAAACTAGTAATCAGTTTACAAACGTCAGGGGAAGGCTTAACAGCCGGCATAACCACTTTGATCTTCTGAGAGAATGTTGTAAAATTACACCTCTTATGAAAACAATTAAATCTTCAATTAATGACAAGTTCTTCTGAGATCAACAGAGGAGTATTGCTCCCATTTGTCATTTCATTCCTCCGATGGATTATTTCTGAAAGTGAATGACCCATTAAGTGCATGAACTGTAGGCCTCCAGTAAAATGGAGAACACACTTCTTTAAATGGGGTCTGTCCCCTCTAGAGGGCCAGCGTATTATTAAGGAGACACATTAAAATGTCAGGGGGGGGGCTGCTGGAGAAATGTGAGCGGAGAAACACTCTCTGTGCTCCTGAACCAGAGCAATAATGAAAAGACAATAAAAATACGTTAGTTCTTCACAGCAGCTTACAGGGCAGCTTTGTATTTCTTCAAAAGCAGTTAGTGTATCGTTAGCTGCCATCTTTCTCTCCATGTTAGCGGTGAAGACATGCCTTTGTACTGCGACTATTGTAAGCGATGGGAAATAAAAACACACTCTTTGCTCAGTGCAAAAATTAATTTCAAAGTTCTGTGAAAAGCTAACACGAGCTGCACCAAGGCATTCATTTTGGCACAAAACAGGCGCTGTGAGTTTTGTCTCCCTTTTCTTACACTTTTTTAAAAGTACACATAGCATTTGAGTTTTGTATTAAGGTCACTGAACCTTTCCTTTCAAGCTGCACCGATAAATATTCTTATTTTAACAATGGGAAAGATGTGAAAGGCACCGCTCCTTCTGATGAACCCACGGTGACTCATCAATCGACTCTGCAATTCATCGGTTCTTTCAGCTCATTGTTTTGGTTTTAATCACCCACAATTTTCCTGTTCTGGCTCACGCTGACCAACCCAAATATCCAGCAGCAGGCCACCGCTACCGGTTAAAGTCTCCAGTACTACCAGCACCAAACAGCACGGACAACATTAGCGACTTAAAATGGAGCACTTAAAATCTTAAGAGCCCGACAGTTCCCTCAGGAGTTGGAGGAGATCAGCAACAGAGCTAAAAGGACAGTGAATATTGGACTTATGCTCACCAAGCGACTTCTATAAGGCGATAAAATATCAAGGTTGTGTTTACATCTTGCTGCAGTTAATGCAGGTGAAATAAACCAGTCTCTGGTGGCGGTATATTGAGTCTGACAGCGAGCCTACCCACAAACAGCTGGCTGCTGAGCCGTAAGCGGAGGTGTCCGTCAGCCGGAGCCTCCAGGAAGCGGAGGGGGAGCTGGTCGACCTGCAAGGAGGCCTCCTTCACGTTGCGCTCTGCCCTCACGTAGTGCCACTGCCTGTCATTCAGAGGGAGGTGGGACTTCACGGTCAGGACCGCTGGACCGTTTCCCACATCAAAGGAGAAGGTCACCACCGAGGGAGCTGGACAGCCAGTGGGGAATCACACACACACACACACACACACACACACACACACACACACACACACACACACACACACACGGCAGTCAGGTCAGGCTGAATGTGATATTAGGCGCTTTATGTTCCTCTCTCTTCTCCCTTTCTGATGCAATGCGATACAATGCTGCTGGGAGAACGTGATGACCTGAATAGATTTATGAGGGGACTGAGCTGACAGCTCGTCAATATTTCACAACGTCTCAGACGCTCCAGCAATACATAATGGCTCCAAATACCCTGAGAACTCCTCCCTCAGGTTGGTGAACAAAACACACTGCAATCAACAATTTCAAATCTTTTTTTTCAACACCTATAATAAACACTGCTGAGGACGCAGAAGATCACGTCCCCAGATTGTTTAATGCAATCATAAAAGCCTTACAACTGCAGCGTATTTCTTTACTGGCGCTGGTGTAAACAAGTCAATCTTTTGCATAAATATATCTGATTTTATCTCCTTTTTTCCTCCAGTAAATCTACAAGGAGATCTTCCCCCATCTGGTGTGTTCATTAAGGATTTCAGCTTCACTACATGGGTCATAAGTACATGCTTTTAAAGTCTCCCGTGACAGCCTGACGTAGCTGTTGCCTGTGTCATTAGGACTACATCACACAGTGCAGACCTGACAGCCTGCTTCTCAGGAAATTGAACTGTCAAGTACAGTACAGCCAACATTTCCCTCTGAGAAAAGCAAAATAAATATCGCTGACAACTTTTGCGGGTGTTCTTATGTGTGGCGAACCTTTTTCTTTAATTTTTCACTTTGTGTGCATGTCCTTGCCATGTGCTTCTCTTTCTCTACTTCTCTATTCTGGTCTGAACGTTGACTCACAGCTGAGCTCCACTCGGATGAAGTCCTTGAGGCCCTGGTTCTCCAGAAACACTCCTGAAGGAGCGCTCGTCTTGAAGTAGAAGGAGATATCAGAAGCGAGCTCGGCCTGCAGGGTGGGGAAGTAGAGGTAGGAGGACTCCTGGTAAAAAGACGCGGCGTTCCATAGAGACTCTGAAAGCAAAGGCAAGATGAGAGTAAAGTGGAGGTAGGAAGATTCTTCACTGAAGGGGGCTGCGCACCAAATAAGGAGACTACTTCATAATCATTTTTTTGTCTCCTTGTTTCCCTCACTTGCATTGTTTACTCAAATTTACAAGTCAATGAAACATGACACCAGATCTGTCACCGGTGTTTTCAGTGTTGACTCCTGGAGTGAGACAGAAAGCAAGCGGTGATCTCTGGGGTTAGAATTCACACAACCTGCCGCAACCTCCCAAACAGGTTTTGCGATGTTCTAATAACACCACTCTATTTCATATTCGCAAAACGAGCACAGCCGTTATTCACGGCATAGCAAGAGCTCCGCAGTCAGGAAGACGTCGAAACAGATAACAGTTTAATTATTTTAACCAACAACCAACGCTGCTGTTTCTGTGGTGAGACAGTCTTTGTATCTCAGATTGTATGAAGATGTCAGCTTTTTAATGAGCTGCTTTATTTGAGAACACAGAACTTTTGTTGGGAGAGTTCAACACTGTGTGAGGCTGTGGTACCAGAATAAAATGAAAACAAGGACGATATCCCAGAATATCTTTATTAAAGGTTCTCCATTAGATATTCAGAGCATTAATACAGCAGCAAATAATGTAAAGATACAGAGGAGTAATGTCTACCTGAGCAGAGAATGAAGTCTCTCTCTCTCTCTGTATCCGGCTTGTGCTTTTAGTGCATCCAGTTCCCCCTCAGGTCAAACACTGTTAGCTCTGTTGACATTTTTTTGCACTGTTAGCGCTGTGAGCTCTGTTAGC